AATCAAAGGAAACTAAATGGAAATGAATGAAGAACAAAATGCAAGAATAAACTAAGAAACTAAAGTAAATACAGAGGAATAAACTGGTATGGCAAGACCTTTCGATCAAAACTTAATACAGAGGACTGTATGGCAAGAATAAACAGACAATATTTCCAGATAAAAAGTAAAATAATATTGTTGAAATGTCATGGGTTTGGTGAGACCACATCTAGTACTGAGAATAAATATATCTTACAGACCATAACAGTAAAGAACTTAGAACTTATTTATGTTTTTAATTAGATTTGATATATTTATTTCTTCAATATTATTTTTCATGTCAGTGTTAATGTGATGAGGCTGATGACTCCATGACACTTTCAGTTTGACTCATTAGGATTTAAGAACCAGATTTGTTCTTTGTAATTTCTGTCCAGTAAAACTATTAATCTATAAATCAATAGACAGGGCTAAATAAAGATATAATCCATGTTTCTGTCTCATATTTCTACGGCATTAAAGGATCTGGAACTTTTGTTTTTCCACTGAAAGCTCTGGTTTGCACCATAAATGCCATGTGGATGAAGTTTTATGGATGATACTCTGATGTCCCATTCTCCTGAAGGCGGCACAGAGCTGCACCACCAGAAACCGACAGAAACACTGAAGAGAAGAGCAGCTATGATTAATGTAGTTACAGTTCTATCCATGTTTTAATGTTGCAGAGCTCAGATGTTGTGCAAATAGATCAAAGTTTAAACAGGCATTGTTGTACATCTTTTATCTGGTCACTTTGTGGAATATTTAATAACTAGAAAATGGCAAAGAACAAGAATATAATTTCCACTCTGATTGGCTGCTGTTAGGCCTACCGATTTTAAGTTGAATGTTCATTGCATTTTTTGTAGACGCCTGTGAAAATAATTTCTATTCCCATGGCTTTTTTGTTCTATGGGGAATTATTTTTGATGATAAATACAGAAACAAGCATAAAAATCAAAAAAACATCTACAATAGTGACAGTAATATTAAGGATAAAATAATAGTCAGTGCAAAGTAGCCTGCAAATTTTTTGGTGGGGGCGGTGAGGGACCTGGATGAAGGCTAGGGGGCGCTGGCCCGAAAAAGGTTGAGAAACTGATTTAGTTGGTAATGTTGCATGTTCTAAATTACTAGCAAAAACATTGACTAAAAGGACTCTTATTTAATGTTGAGGGATTTTTGCCTGTAAGGCAAACCTTTAGGGTACAGACATTTTACATTTTGTTTTGAGTTGAAATGTACTGAAGTCTTTTTTAAGTTTTAGTGTTTAGCTAATTGTATTGTTAATTGTATTGTTAGAAGCAATTGTTTGCACTATTCAAAGACATTTTTTATTAAACTGTGGTGATAGCAACAGTATAATTTCTATCACCACTAAAAGTTTCAGGCTCAGGATTTTTTTTTACTTTAAGCCCTGCTTTTTGTTATAGTGCC